AAAAAAAAAAAAAAAAAAAAAAAAAAAAAAAAAAAAAAAAAAGGATGCGGGGTTGTGGCCACACAGCAGGCTCCCAGACTCACCAGATGAACAGCTCTGCAAGAGCCCAGGCGGTCATTGAGGCCCATCCAACGTTGGTACTCAGGGTACTCGCCCTGAGGTAGGATGTACATGTGCCCAGCGAAGTTGGGTCTCTCATACACGGCCCAGGTGCCTCCTTCTACTCGAATGGAGTTGCAGCGACTTAGGTAGGAGTAGAAGTCGGCACAGTCACAGTCGCAGTCATAACGACGGCCTTGAAAGTTTTTGTCCTCAAAGAAACTAATCTGAAGCACAGAGCAGTTAGAGAGCTGAGGAACTGGGCAGCTTGGCACACAGATGAAAGTGCAAAGCTCGCCTTAGGACGACTTTCCCCTCTACTGTGAAGAAAAACACACACTTCTGCTTTCCCTCACATTTGGCTTCTGGCAATTTTGTCAACAAATGGGATTAGGATTTTCTTAAAATGGAGCACAATAAAAGGATGTTCTGATAGAAGCCAGTAGTCTCCTACCAAACTGTACGTTTAGTTCCTACAGCCCTCTACCCAGACCTCAGGGTTTTTCTGCTTGAAATAGGGGACACCTGATAGGAACTCTAAGGGTTCACCAATCGTTTATAAATAACACCGTGGAACATGAACACCAAAAAACACACACACACACACACACACACACACACACACACACACACACACGAGTTACACAGTAATTCTACAATCAGGAAACAGTCATGGTTGGAGTGGTTAATTCCTTGGCATTGTGCCGCCACCTTGTGGCTGATTCGATTTATTGATTTAACAGAAAAATACTGCATAAAGGAGCAGAGGTCTGGAGTCTTCTGTAACACGGTGAGTGGTTTTCTAAAAGCAAAGGAAAGGGGACAAGGCTGCCCAAACGAATAAACTCCGTGGAGAACACAGCCCGTCATAGGAACTGGTGTATTGTGAGCGTGGTAAGCAGAGCTGGAGTTCGTTCCCTCGGGAGACAACTCAGGGAACGCACTCTAAAGTCGGGTCTTGGTGACTCATTACATGGTCAGAATGTAGGAGCACAAAGGGTACAGGATCCTTTCCTTTCCATCCTGTGTGAGTCGTTCCCAGGTGACACATTCCGCCTCCATCTTTCCTTTCCCCCTCCTGTCCCAACTCTATTTTCTGCTCCCTAATTTTTTCCTTCCCATTAAAAAACATTTATTTCATTTCCTCCTCTTCAAATTCGTTTCTTTTGCTCCCTCTTTCATTTTAGCATAGCAGACTCAGACGTATATGGTTCCTATTTACAGATGAGAGGGGAAAAAAAACTCCAGCACAGCTTACTAGTTATGTGTCTTTGAACAGGAGCACTGAGCTTCTGTCAGAGGTCAAGGTAAAAGTGTGTCTGTCCTACAGCGGGATGGTCTGAGGGTAAAATGGAAATAAAGGCAATCGAGTTTATAAAGTTTAACACTTAACTCAAAATTGCCAAGGAGGGAGAAGGGGCTCCCGGGGCCCAGCCCTGCCTGAGAAGCTATAGGCAATTAAAGATTGCTAGGAGAGCTAGAGTCACATTCCTAGATGGTGTAGACACTCTAAGCCGGTCACTCTAACCTTCCTAATGCTGCAGCTCTTTAGTACAGTTCATGCTGTGGTGACCTCCAACCGTAACATTATTTTGCTACTTCATAACTGTGATTTTGTTACTTAGACGTATTGTATGATATGCAACCCACAATGGGGTTACAGATCTACAGGTTGAGAACCACTGCTGTCAGCTGTCCTGCTCAAATAGCCCACACCCATGCTCAAGCAAGCAACCCTAATTAAATGCAATGGGACACACACACACACACACTCACACACTCACTCACACACACACACACACTCACACACTCACTCACACACACACACACACACACACACACACACCCCTCTCACAGGGAACTAGCAAGGGAAGGGGTCTGGTGGGAGTGGAAGAGAAATGTGAGAATAATGGGGGATAAATATGATCAAAATACATTATACACATGTGCAAAACTGTAAAGCACATTAAAAAAAAAGTTTAAGATACAACTGGCTCAGTCTGTATGTTACTAGTGTGTGTGTTTAGAGCTGCAGTAGCCAATCGGTGAGCTCGTCCCTGGGGAAGACTATCCCTCCCACTCTTCAGCATTCCTTAGTGGCCTGTAGTTCTTTGTGTGAGACTGAAGTCTCATGAGCTTTCACCTTTGCACGTCCATTATTGTCATCCTTGTGCAGATTAGGCAACCAAAGATAAATGTTTAAAAAGATAGTAAGCTTTTTTGTTATGGACAAAGATGACCTCCAAAGACGACCAGCTTATTCGAGGATAGCTAGAAGCCCATGGGCTGCAGTGCTTTTTATGTGGGCCATCTTCTTTCCCTTCCGTCTTCCTACCCCACATGACTTAATGGGGCAGCATTTACATTCTAAACGCTCAGCAGGACTGATCCTACATCCTGGAGCCTTTTTTTTGTTTTTTTTTTTGTTTTTTTTTTGACAAGATCTTCAGGAAAATTGTGTAACTTCTCTAAGAATGGACAGGTTCTACACACCTTTCATTCATACACTGAATATGCTTTTGAGCCCTACTTACCAAAAAAATGTGGTAAGCTATGCTATGCTATGGGAAATACAGCTTGTGTATTTTATTCATTGGTTCTCACATTTACTGTCCTCTACACATTTGCCTTATAGCAGTATCTGATAAGTACATATATACACGGGGTCACCATGTTCTCCACCCTCTGAGGCCAGCCATCAGTCAGTGAGCATCAGTTTTTCATGAAGCTCCAGCCCAAGCTGTCTGTTCAGTGGATGAAGGCTAGACATGTGATCTCTATTCACTCTATTGCTAATAGAGGGATTGTGGCCTTTGGACATAAAACTTGTAGAGGAGAGTAAAACAATGCTGGTGTTCCTGGAAAATTAAGACAAAATTCCTGTCACATTTGAGTTTATTTTTGAAAAATAGCCTACCAATCCAAGCAGAAAAAAAGTATCTGAATTATCCCTGAGGTTAACGAAAACATGCTTAATAAAATCTGCTGCTCGTGCTGAGCCAACGTGCCTGAGTCCCAGGATGGTGGGAAAGGAAGGGCAATGAGAAAGAACAGGCATTTGTTTATTTACATGATGTTTATGTATTCCCTCAAGGCTCTTCAGATTTTTCAGTGGGATCTAGGTGATGTTTTTATACTAGACAGTCTTTCCCCTGTTAGTTCTATTTGTCAAAGAGGAAAAAGTGCATCAGGCACTAACCAATCACAGAACAAGATAACAACTACCTCCAGATAACATGCACCGGTAACCACACAATACTGTCTGCCTAACTTCTTGCTAGTCTCAGTCTAAAGATGAGGAAACTGTGATATGAATCTAGATGGAGTTTCTCTAGAAACTTTGAAAACTGTCTCAACAACAACAAAACCTGAAGAGGCTGCTGTATAGGGGGAGAGAGAGAGAGAGAGAGAGA